CTATGAATATTTGAAGAAGAAAATATCAATAATAAATTGAAAATGATAAAAACAAAAGAATTTTAGTAAATAAAAATCAACTGTATAAATTAAAAATAAATAAAATACTATCTATTATACAAGTTCAGCCCTCACCTCACTTGAAAATTTAATTACCCATAAATCTGATAGAGAACAAAAATCTCATAAGAAAAATAAAACAAACCGGCGACATCAGAGTTTTTTTCCTGATCGCTGACCTCCGTGTTCTGCCCAGCCGCCTGCTGCTTTTTCTTTTCTTTTTTTCATCCCCCACGCCACACACCAGATAAAGCATATATAATAACACAGCCGCCACACCAAGCCATGGAAAATCAAGGGTTTTTTAAAAAGTCAATACTTTTTGAAAAATACCTTTTCTTCCCCCTATCTTTTCTAACTTTTCTATTTCAGCTCTAAAGTTCAAACCTTTTTACTTCAACCCCTAAAGCCCAAATCTTGTGTAATTTGAGGAAGATAAAACCTAATAAAAATTATGAGTGTCGGGCCCACGCGACAGCAGCATCAGTTTTAGCCTTTTTCCTCAATAGGCTGCCATCAAAATAAAAAAAAACAAATATAAAAGCCCAATAATAAAGTCTCAAAAATATTAAATGTAAAGTTTAAATGTAAATTATTTCTCACAAACCAATAATACAATATTTAAGATTTAAAATATTATAAAATCATGCTCAAATATATCTTAGTGTGAATAATATTAAATTCAATAATATAAATTATATATAATTATTTATATTCACATTTTAGTATTTTAATTCAATAATAGGGTATTTAGAATGCACTTTCGCGCACTCATCACACCCCCCAACTTACTCATTGCTAGTCTCTAGTAATTTTCTTGCCGAAACAATGAAAGAAACTAAAGAATATCAGACACAAAAGCCCTCAAGTCACACTTTCCAGATTCACATATCAAAACAATCTTAGGAATTCAATAATCTCATCACAAGTAATCCACCTGAAGCAATCCACAAAGTGTGTGTGTGTTCCAAACTATATACATCTAACCAGAAACCCTGACACATGCAACATCAAGAACATCTTAAGTAAAAGGTTCAACTCCATAACTCATGGGTATAAAAGTGTTTCGTGTGGAGATTCTCTATATGGAGTTGACAATGGGTGTGCACACACTCTCATGAAAAATTAGGCAATTTTGTACAAGCAACAAGCAAACATTGATCTTATGATAGGAATAATAACAAATGAGACTTCCACCATGCTTTCCCAAAATCTTATTTAGGATTAGAATGGTCAACGCAAAAGGTTGTAACGTGGCTTAGGTTTTGAGGCTATATAAAAAAAATGGAAATGATTCAAAAACTTCCAAGTACATACAGAGGAAATCTTGTTAAATCTCTCAATAAACTATATTTCTCACTTGATGTACTCTTCAACCTTTCAAGTCATCGAATAATGCCTCTTTTTCTTTCTTTTTAGAAGCAATTTGGTGAACAATTATGTCATCCTGGTAATTTCGCTATTTCTACTTCTTTTTTTTTTTTTTATAGCGAACTCACTTGAACACCTTGTAACTCATGTTCTTCCCTTTTCTTTTCTCTCTTTTTTCTTTTTTTTACAGCGAACTCACTTGAACACCTTGTAACTCATATTCTTCTCTTTTCTTTTCTCTCTTTTTTTTTCTCAAAAAGAATTTTACATCTAGTACACACTTGGAAGTAACAAGGGTAGGAAAAATCAGTGTATAGGTTATACTCCAATGTGGAGAGGTATGGATAATGTAGGCATATGAAAAGAAAAGGCTATATGTGTTTATTGGCTCAAAGTTGGCTACTAGGAGTTTAATGTGGAAAGGGTTAGCTTGAAAGGCTCTAACGTTGATCGTTGTCATATCCCAAGTATATCCACCATCTTACCACAAACCACGTAATGATATTCTCAAAAGAATTACTCAATTCAACAAATCAATGAACGCTTATCACAATTTAATATAGTTGTAGACTCTTAATCCTCTCCAAAACTCACATGAATACGTAAGCAAAAGAGTTTCTTAGCTACATGTCAAACCACCATCTTAACAAAAGCTTGGATGAGTGCATTAGGGGTTCTGTGAATGCTTCAGGAAAAATTGATTATGCTGGATTTGGAAAATTCATGAAAATAGCTATGAATGAGAATAAGTATACATGTGAAAAGTATGCACGTGTAATGTAAAATTAAAAATATTTCACTCATGAAAATATGCCACAGAGTTCCAAAAATTAGTTTAAATTTTGAATTTGCACCACCACCCCCCAACTTAAATGAAACATTGTCCTCAATGTTTAAGAATCAAATTTAAATGAGGAGTAACTAAAAAGGTAGAATACACCTGATGAGTGACGTGGGTAGTTCGTTAAGCACCAAAGATGGTAACTTAAAATGATAAAATGAAACTAACCTGCAAACAAAAACAAAGAAAACAATAGCAAACTAAAAGGGAAAATAAAAATAAAAAAAATAAAACAAACAAAACAAACAAAACAAATAAAAAAAACATATCTGCATGGTGTGGTCAAGGTTGATAGACTGGATCCTCAAGTGGAATGTCTTCCACTTCTAGAACTTGCCTATCAATTAATACTTTAAGACGTTGATCATTTACTTTAAAGATCTGACCATCCTTAAGATTCTATATTTCCACCGCCCCATGTGCAAAAATATTCTTCACTATAAAAGGGCCGGTCCACCTAGACCTAAGTTTTCCAAGGTACTTATGGAGTCTAGAATCATATAAGAACACTCAATCATTAAGCTTAAACATTTTTCTCAAAATATTTTTATCATGTAACGCTTTCATTTTAGCCTTATAGATTTTAGAATTCTCATAAGCATCATTTCTCAACTCCTCTAATTCGGTCAGTTGAAATTTTTTAAGTTTACCTGTTTTTTCCATGTCAAAATTGAAATATTTGATGGCCCAATAGGCTCGATGCTCGAGCTCCACAGGTAATTGGCAAGGCTTTCCAAAAACAAGCCTATAAGGTGACATGCCTAAAGTAGTTTTGAAAGTTGTACGGTAGGCCCAAAGCACATCAACTAGTCTCAAAGACCAATCCTTGCGATCCGGGTTTACCGTTTTTCCTAAAATTTGCTTAATTTTCCTATTTGCAAGTTCTACTTGTCCACTTGTCTGAGGGTAGTAAACAGTAGAGATCTTATGTACCACCCCATATTTTTTCATTAAAGCCTTAAAAGAACGGTTGTAAAAATGAGTACCCCAGTCACTAATGATAGCACATGGTATACCAAATCGAGATAACACATTTTTTTTGAGAAATTTAATTACCGTTTTACTATCATTGCTCCTACAAGATGTTGTCTCTACCCATTTTGACACATAATCTATTGTCACAATAATATATTGATATCCAAAAGAAAGAGAAAATGGTCCCATAAAATCAATACCCCAACAATAAAAATTTTCAAATCACTAAAATTGGGTTTAAGGGCATCATATTACGACGAGACATAACTCCTAACTTTTGACACTTTTCACATGAGCGACAATAGATATATGCATCCTTAAACAAGGTGGCCCAATAAAATCCACACTGCAAAATTTTTGCAGCGGTTTTCTTCATTGCAAAATGCCCCCCACAAGCTTGGGAGTGACAAAATTCCAAGACGCTGACAATCTCCTCATCAGGGATGCAACATCTTAAAATCTGGTTAGGACAGTACTTAAAAAGAAAAGGGTCATCCCAATAGAAATTTCGTACTTCAGTCATGAACTTCCTCTTGTCCTGAGCGCTCCAATCCACTGGTATCTCACCTGCAGTTAAATAATTCACAATATGAGCAAACCATGGTAGAGAAGTAACAGAAAGTAAATGTTCATCAGGAAAATCATCCCTGATTGGCAAGTGGTCAGAGGTATCCTCAAATATGAATCTCGAGAGATGATCAACCACTACGTTCTCCACTCCTTTCTTGTCTTTGATAGTGATGTAAAATTCTTACAAAAGTAAAATCCACCGTATTAGTCGTGCCTTAGCATCCTTCTTTGTAAAAAGTTACTTAAGGGCTGCATAATCTGTGAAAATAATAATAGAAGAACCAATTAAATAAATACGAAACTTATCCAAAGCAAACACTACAGCTAGCAACTCTTTTTCTGCGGTGGAGTAATTCATCTGAGCACTATTTAGAGTTCTACTAACATAATAAATGACAAAAGGTTTTCCATCTCTTTGCTATCCAAGAACAACACCCACAGTAAAATTACTAGCATCACACATGATTTCAAAAGGTAAAATCCAATAAGGTGGCTGCATTATGAGTGTTGAGGTAAGCTTGTCAATTAGTGTTTTAAAGGCCTCTTGACAACCTTGTGTCCATTCAAATGGGGCATCTTTAGCTAGGAAGTCACATATTGGTCTAAATATGGTGAAAAATTTATGTATAAACCTCCTATAAAAGCCTGCATGACCAAGAAATGATCTCACATCCTTTACTGTCCTAGGTGTAGGCAATTTAGAGATTAATTCAATTTTAGATTGATCAACCTCTATTCCCCTAGAGAAAATAATATGCCCTAAAACAATACCTGAAGGCACCATAAAGTGACATTTCTTCCAATTCAAAACCAAATTCTTTTCCTCATAACGAGTCAACACTCTCTCTAAATTCAATAAGCATGCATCAAAAGAAGATTCAAAAACAGTTAAGTCATCCATAAAAACTTTCATGCAATTTTCAACCATATCGCTAAAAATACTCATCACGCAACGTTGAAAAATAGCAGATGCATTACATAATCCAAATGGCATTCTACGAAAAACATAAGTACCAAAAGGACAAGTGAAAGTAGTTTTTTCTTGGTCTTCTAATGCAATTTTAATTTGATAATAACCAGAAGAACTATCCAAGAAACAATAAAAAGGATGACTAGCCACACGTTTAAGAATTTGATCAATAAAAGAGAGAGGAAAATGGTCTTTTTCAGTGGCAGCATTCAATTTTATGTAGTATAGTGGTGAGTATTCCCGCCTGTCACGCGGGTGACTCGGATTCGGTCCCCGACAACGACGTCAAAATTTGATTACGCCCAAAGAATAATGCAATAATTATAGCACAGCTTTGGGGTGTCGATTACACAGAGAGACAAATTAAAAGAATAATAGAAGGAACAAAAGAACTAAAAAAATATATTAAATGATTACTAAAGAACAAAGATTAATTTTAAATACAACTTAAAGTGAAACAAAGTGACTAACGGAAAAAAATATTCAAATTTAACAAACAGTAAAGCGTCGGAAATCCCTTACACAAATCAGGTATTTTAATTATTTTTAATTCATTGAATAACTCAATTGAGAATTTAATTCCCAAAATTCCCAACCGGAAGATATAAATTTATAAACCAAGATTAAACCCCAATGTAACCCTTTGAAAAATTATTCACCACTTTTAAAATAAGTAAATTATTATCACTATTGAGAAAATTCAACGACGACAATATATTTAAGAAAGTAATAATGCAACAAAGAATTAAATCAATATAGATAAATAATTGATTCAAACATAATCAAAAAACTACTCCATTCAATAGAAAAAGCATGACTGAATCCATAAACAGAATAAATTCTATAACTATTCGGAGAAGAAAATATCAACAATAAATTGAGAATAATAAAAACAAAAGAGTTTTAGTAATTAAAAATAAATAAAATAACATCTAATGTGCAAGCTCATCTCTCGTCTTACTTGAGAATTTAGTTATCCATAAATATGATGGACAACAAAAATCTCCTGAAAAAAAATAAAATAAACCGACGACAACAGAGTTTTTTTCCTGATCGCTGATCTCCGTCTTCTGCCCAGCCGCCTGCTGCTTTTTCTTTTCTTTTTTTCTTCCCCCACGCCAAACACCAGAGAAAGCATATATAATAACACAGCCGCCAGACCAAGTCATGGAAAAGTAAGGGTTTTTTAAAAAGTCAATACTTTTTGAAAAATACCTTTTTCTCCACCTCTCTTTCTAACTTTTCTATTTCAGCTCTAAAGTTCAAACCTTTTTCCTTCAGCCCCTAAAGCCTAAATCTTGTGTAATTTGAGGAAGATAAAACCTAATAAAAATTATGAGTGCCGGACCCACATGACAGCAGCATCAGTTTCAGCCTTTTTTCAACATAGGCTGCCATCAAAATAAAAAAAACAAATATAAAAACCTAATAATAAAGTTCCAAAAATATTAAATGTAAAGCTCAATTGTAAATTATTTCTCACCAACCAATAATATAATATTTAAGATTTAAAATATTATAAAATCATACTCAAATATATCTTATTGTGAATAATTATTAAATTCAATAATATAAATTATATCTAATTATTTATATTCATATTTTAGTATTTTAATACATTAATAAGGTATTTAGAATGTACTTTCGCACACTCATCACCGCCCAAAGTAAACTTGTGCAATATTCGAGTTGAGGTTGGGTTAGGGTTAAGATTGAGAATTATATACCTAGGGTTGACCTCTCAACCCTCCCAACCCGCCCGAGTCGCACCCCTACAAAATGTCAAACAACCTCATTAATTCACACATACCTCTCTCTTATTTTCTATCCATTCACTTTAATTTAAAATTTCATAATTGAAGAAAAAGAAAGAAAAAGTAAATTACTATTTAATACATAACTATTGCAGGTTGTATATTCAATTTTTGGTATTGTAAAAAGTTTTTAGATACAGAGTTACTGTTAGTGTGTATTGCTTGATCATTTTTCCTAATCTCCGAACATCGGCTCAGATTGTGTGTATATGGCTTATACGAGTTGGTGAGTGTCACTCTTGGGCTCAAATGCAAGAAATGATAAAAATCATGTGTGCGAACAAAAAGGTGTGTACGTGTTCAAAAGTGCTCTCCAAACGTATAGAGACTTGTAATGTCATATTTTATTTGAAATGAGTATTTTAGGGTCATCTCCTCATGGAAGGAAACATCAAATGCTTTGAAGGGTGATTTGTAAAGAAATGAAAATTAAAAAATCTTGTGAATTTTATTTTGGCGAGTTATGTTTCGATAAAAATGCAAGAAAGCAAAGTTGGCTAATCCATAGAGGTCCTTCCAATGAAACTGCCAAATCAATTCAATTCATTCAACCAATGTTGTCTCGGTGTTTGATTGATTCGTGGAAAGTGAGGGACTAATGTGGTTGTGTTGGACAAAAGTATACCCCATGATAAGTCTACAGTGTATCAAGAGCTCACAACCACGTCTGCACTCAACCTAGTCAAACCAAACATTTTACACTGCAAGAAAGAATGAAAAGGGAGTCGATTTCACATATCCAAGAAGACATTTCCCTTGGATTAGCCAACTAAAAGTCTAGCTACTCATAGTAAAGGAAAGAATAAGCATAATGTAAAGGAACATGGTAGTGAAATGAAACATGAAACTTGTAGTGATGCAAGAAAATGTTTAAACTGCAAGAATAAAGTCATTCATACCTAAAATACAAAGCTTGAAGATAAACTACCCAATTGTAGAAATGAAAAAGTAAGAACACTTAACTAAGATTGATTACACTTTAAATAAAAGAGTTTAGAGTGAAAGGGAAATATTACAAGTAAAATAAAGCTTACTACAATGAAAATAGTGAAGAAAATGTAAAAATCTAACTTTCTCTCTCTAAAACTTCATCTTTTACCTTAGAGTTTCTTTCTATAAAATCATATAAAAAATCTGAATAATTGTGGAAGACTTCCTCCAAATTCATCCATCCTCCTTCCCTTAGCATGTGTGAACTGAATTGGAATGATTGGATAGAGGTTGGACATTTCCACAAGCAAGTTTAGTCCAAGCATGGTCTTCCCTTGCTTCACCAACCACCCCTCTTCTCTCTCTTGCTTCTCCCCTCTCTCTCACTTCAAATATGACTTTAGGGGTTAGGAGAGCATCATGGGGTGTCAAACATGTTAGGGTATGACTTAGAGGATCAGAGGTGGGTCCCCGGAGTAAGTGGATTCATGTGAGTTGGTGTCTGACAAAGCAAGGCAAAACCTTCCAGTAGAACGTAAGAAAATCTATCAGTAGGTTTTTTTCAGTAAGATTTTCTGCCGGTAGGTTTTTGCATAACTGAGGTAGAAGAATTCTAGTAGCATTTTCTACCTGTAGGTTTTGAATCTTCTACCGGTAGGTTTTGAATGATTTCTACCGGTAGGTTTTGGTTGCCTTCTACCGATAAGTTTGTCATGTTTTGGGATTTCCTTAGTTTCTTGAGGTCTCGAACCATCCGTTAAGCATTCCCTTCTTTCCCATTACCTTTGAGCACTTGATGGGAGACTTTATACACGACTTTATTTGCTCTTTGCCTATAATCACATGAATCTCCATTACTTGTGAATTTGAAAGCATTTCTCCCAATTTTCACCACAAAACAAGTAATATGGGTGCAAAAGAGATACATGATATAAAATATTCTATACTCATCATGTATCTATCTGAGAGAGAAAGAAAGTCAATCTCAGAAGGTTTTAAAATTAAGGAGTTTTGAATTTTTTTACGCATATAACCAAAAACAAATTTTGTTTATGCATGAGAGAGAGAAGGGGGGGAGAGTTATAATATGGACTTGTCACTTTGTTTGACTTTTGAATTGTGCAATTTGTGTACAAATCATTAATTATATTTTTATTTATATAAGGGTAAATAAGTGTTTCAAAATGCAATTGTCCTTTAAGATTCGTAAAAGGAGTGCTTGTACCTTATAATACAAAAGTTCTCTACAAAGGATTAGGCACAAAAAATCCATTCTTTTCAGATTCATTGTTGGGTTTTTTGGATGTGAGTACATTTTTTTAGACTTATTTGAGAGAAAGTGTATGAATAAGTATTTTACTCTATTAAGTTCAATTTTAATAATACTTCTTATGATTAAGTATAAAATTCAAATAACATTTGAATTTTTTTTACTTACTTACTATTCCTTAAATTATGTATAATTTTTGTTCTCTCCATCTCCTTCTCCCCTATTTTCTCTCTCTCCCTCTCTCCATTACTCTCTCACTATCTCTCCCCTATTTTCTTTCCATCTATCTCTATCTCTCTCACAGTTACTCTTCCCATCTCTCCCCTTATTTTCTATCTCTTTCTACCATTGATAATTTATTTTCTTTTTAAATATGTAAAAATTTTATATTTTTTCATCTCTCTCTCGCCTATTTTTTTTCTCTTTCTCCTCTTATTTTCTCCTTCTCTTTTTCTCCTTTTATATCAATATTACAACAACACAATTACACTAATCAGTGACACCAATCAATTACAATTATCCTATAATAAACTAAAGAGTTACTCATGTGTTCTAATAAACCAAATAGTTATACCAAACTACATAAAATTATTACATCAACTCAATTTATCATTCAGTTATTTACATAAACTAAATAGTTGCACTATTTAGTATCGCAACATTGATGTACCAATTATATATACCAAATTTAGTATAATGGTAAAGTTTTTGGTGTAATCATAAATCCAATTTGGTGTATATAACTGGTCTAACTATATTGTGATACTAAATGATATAATTCTTTGATTTATGTAAATAATTGAATGACAAATTGAGTTGTCGTTGTAGTTTTGTGTAATTGTTTAGTGTAATTATTTGATTTATTAAAACACATGAGTAACTGTTTAGTATATTTATAGGGTAACTGTGAATAATTAGTGTAATTGTATTGTTATAAACATTGATATAAGGAGAGAGAATAAGGAAATAAATGGAGAAGGATTGAGAGTGAGAAAAATTAGGTGAGAAAAAGATGAAAAAATTAAATCAAATCTTTACATATTAAAATAAATAAATTATCAATGTGAGATAGAAAGATAGAGAGAAAATAGGGAAGAGAGAGTGAGAGAGGAGAGGTGAGAGAGAAAAAGTAATGGAGTATAAATAGTCTTTTAGTCCTTTTTTCAAAAAATTGCACTTAAAATCAAATAAGTTTCTTTAATATAGTTTAACTTAAGTAAGTCTAATTTTTTATATCGAATTCTAAATTACTCTTTGTTGTTTGTGAGAATGTTGGGCCAATGAATTGGATTATGGGCCAAGTCTTTCAGCCTAGTAATGTGTAATGTGTATGTGACTCCACCCATTGAACAATGAGGAAATTAGAAAGGGGTATACCAAATTAAACTTAATTATAAAAAATATACATAAAAAAATGTTGAATAATTAAGTTCTTAATTTTGATACTTATTTGTATCTAAGTACATTATTTGAATTTTATTGATTTTTTGTGACATTTTTGTCCTCCATTAATCAATGTGTATTTTCTTTGAAAAAGTGGTGCATTAAACATCTCCTAGTTTTGTGGGAGAGTTTTAATATTTCATATTTGTATGTCCTCCCTTAATTCATGAAATTTTTTTTTTGGAAAGTGATTTTTTTTTTAAATTATATTTAATGCACCTTAATTCATGCGTTTTTTTTTTTAGAAAGTGGTTTTATTTTTAAATTATTTTAATATTCGAATAGTGTAATAGTATAACAATAAGAGTGTAACAATGTAATAATAACAGTGTAACAAAATATTTACACAAAATATTGTACTATTACATTTTGTTAAACATATAGTTTCATATAATTTCATTCAAGATAGTCAATCTCAAATTTGAATTTGTTATCACATGCTCAAAACTACTGAACACTATTTTTATTACAGTGTATTTATTACACTATTTTTGTTACAATATTATGGAGTTCGAATATTAACAAATTTTGAAATTCAAACAAATGATATATTCTAAAATAAACGAAATATTAAAATTCTCATATAAAATTAGTAGTACTAAATATTTAATGCATAAATATAATTTGAAAATAAAACCACTTTAAAAAAAATACACATGAATTAATGTGCATTAAAAATAATTCAAAATTTAAATAAGAGATTTAACAAGTATGTATATGTATATTAACAAATACACATGAATTAATGTGCATTAAAGATAAGAAATTTTAAATTAAATGACTTTAAAATGGACATTTACGTTATTTCAGCTGTTTACTTTTTTTTAAAATATTTTGTTCTATATATTTTTTGTCAAATAAGTTTTATTAGGTATACCGACTTCTAAATAATCCTAAAACAATTTTACGGCATATGGAAGCTACCCGGACTCATTAATGAAGTGGGCTGGCCGGTTAACTGTCCAATCTTTGGGCCAAACAGCTACTCATCCGCCCTTTAAGAAAGGGTCTACAAATTTGGTCCGGCCCGGACCATCTAAATTAGTGTAGAAGTGCGGATTCTCTATCCCCAGCCACACCCAAAGGTCCATGTCCCCGAGTCTCCCCATTAATTGCACACCGCAGTGTCAATCTATACCTTCTCTGTTTCTCGTAACACAGATTTTGATCTCTGCAAAAGCCATTATTCAAGCAAGAACTCATCGTCCATCACAGTTCTACGTGCTTGTGCTGAAGTAAGTGATCCATCTCTCAAGATTTAAATTTGCAAAGATATTGATTCGACATTCATTTGACCTCCCTTAGAACCTCACAAGTTTTCATGTCTCTCTCACTTAGATCCAATGCCCAAATCTTCGAAATCTCTCTAGCACACACCACCTTGACACTATTACATATTACAGACCCATATCTGTCAACCCAGAAACCAATTATCTGAAATACCAAACTCAATTCTAAAATCAAACCCTTAGATCCAAGAAAATCTAATAGTACACCGACCCTATGTCTTGTTTATCTCTCTCTCTCCAACCCGCAAATGGATCCGACATTCTCCTCCAAACCCGTGAATGGTTCCCTCCTGCCCGAGCTCTTGTTGCCCTTTCTGCCTTTCGCCAGACACGGCTTGCGTTTGCCTCCGGCAAGCACCGTGACTCCACCGAGGATGGCGACACGTCCCTCGGTGATGACCCACTTGCTGCTTCCAGCGGCCAAGTCATTGTAGGTGTTGAAAGCCGGTATCGTGTTGTGTACCGCTTAGTAAATTCAATATACGTATTGGGTATTACCACTGTTGATGATAATGATAGTGTGAACAATGTCTTTGAGTGTATTAGCATTGTGAATCAGGCTGTTAGTGTAGTTGTGACCGCGTGTCGTGGTGTTGATGTCACATCGGAGAAACTAGGTAGGAAATACGCTGAAATTTATTTGGCACTGGATATAGTTTTAAGGGGTGTAAGTAACATTAGGCTAGCGGCGATGTTAGGGTCAATGCACGGTGACGGGATTGCGAAGATGGTGCATTCAGCTATACATACGGAGAATAAGATTAGGGGTGCGGATAGTTGGACTAACGTGGAGGTGAATTCCATTGAGCATGAGGCGGGTGTGGTAGCATTTGAGAGCGCAAGGTTTGAGCTGCCTCCAGAGACGTTGGAGGCCGGTGATGAGGTTGCCACCACAATTGCCTTTGCTGGGCAAGGAGAACAAGAGGATGACAAGGAAAAGGTGGAGGATGATGAGGAGGCAGACCCGTTTGCAGCTAGTGATAAGCTTGGCAAGCCGGAAGAGCTTGTTGGTGGTTTTAAGAAAGATAAGGAGCAGGCAGGTGCTGATTTAACCATGGCATTGGTGGGACTTGAGGTTACTACTTTGCCACCTGCTGCAGCCACAGAATCAACACATATTGTTGTTGAAGGGTTTGAAGGGAACTATGGTGGTATAGAATTTAGTAATGATGGGTCAACATTGAGGGAAGATTTTGAAGGAATCAATGATGCTTGGGGCGGTGGATTGGACGCATCAGAGTTTGTGGGAACGAAGAAAGTTGTGAAACGTGAGGGGCTTGGTGGGCTTGAATTGTTAGAAACTAGTGAGCCACCAATGAAGGCTGTTGAGAGCGGTGGTGGTACTCCTCTTGAAAATCTTTTGGTGAGGAAAACTGAAATGAAGGGTCCAGGGATGTACATTTCTGAAGAGATTAGTGCGGAGTTCAGGGAATCCTTGCTGGCTAGAGTTGGCTTGATGGGCACAGTTTACTTAAGAACATTGCCTCCAAAATCATCTGGTGATCAAGAAACTGAGTTTTCCTTCAGGGTGGATGGTACTAGTAGTGTTAAGAGATTTGTTATGCAAAGCTCTCGTGTAAGCAGTCTTGGCAATGGGATGTTTCATGTGAGGACTGCACCTTCTGATGAGCCTCTACCGATCTTCAAGTATAGCTTGCTACCCCGGTTAACTCCACTGCCCTTGAGGGTTCGGCTGCTGAAACGTCTTAGTGGGACTTTACTTTCTGTAATGATACAATATGTTTCAAACCCAGAGTTGCCAGCACCCTTGAATGATGTGACATTTCTTCTGAAACTACCAGTAGACCCAACACTCTTGAAAGTTTCGCCAAAAGCCATATTAAACAGGTCTGAGAGAGAATTAAAATGGCATGTTGAAGAGATCCCTCTAAAGGGTAATCCGGGTAGGTTGAGGGCAAGGATGCCTGTGGATATTAGTGAAGAAGAAAGTGGAGAAGAACTTGAAGTTGTTTGCTATGTGAACTTTTCTGCCCAAGGAAATAGATCATTGTCTGGGCTATCTCTACAGTCAGCTTCTGAAGGTAAGTCAGATTTTTATGAGGTTGACCATAGGTGTGCAAATGGGGTTTATATGTGTAATTGACATAAATGATTTGATCCTTGGCTTACAGTTTGTGTTTCTTTTATTTTTTTTTTCTTTTTCTTGCCGTCTGAAGGGGTATATGGTTTGGAAGTGCTATAGCATTCTTTGTACTGTGTCTTTTCATGTTATAAGCCATTGGCTTTGTGTTATGGACAATAAACTTTGTTATTCTTTCATTGTTCTAACAAGAAAGTTGTGTGTTTTTATGTTATCAACTTATCAGCTCTTTGCAATCTGTAACAGGTAGTAATTTTTGTTTTTCCCATTTTTGTTTCTTTTTTCTCTCATTTTTACTTTTATCTGCTGCCATTGATCTTGACACTGACTTTTGAAGGGTGAATGTTATACTATATCCTGCCAGGTTATTGAACTTGAGTGCAGAAGCTTCTTAGAATGGTTATGGTGATAGTGTACTTTCTGTTGCACACATTTAGGCTAGTCGCAGAATGATGTGGTCTTGGAGATTGGTAAACATAATATATAGAAATGGAATATTGGTTGGCTCGTGATTGCACTAACCTTTACTTGTGCTTCATGCTACAATTTTTTTTCAAGTGAGAAATTGTTATTCTATTGAGAAACAGCGATGCATTTGTTGGAATACCATTATTCAGAAGCTACTGAAGTTAAGCTGTGACTAATGCTATTCAAGTAAAATCATGTGAAGGGTTGCAGCTTATTAGTCAAAGTACAACTGCACTTCTATACCTGGTAAACAACATAGCAAATAAAGCTCAGAATGCGAAGAACACAATTATTTTGTTTTGCTGATTTCTGAGGATTTTCTAGCTTAGCCAAGTTCTGTGGTGTTCAAGAACTATTCGACAACGATTATTGTAGGCTCCCACAATATTAAGAACTTAGAGGAGATAGTCTTGTGATATTTTTTGTATGGAAGAATATTATGCTCAAGTAATATAATTTTAACTATGAGGCTAATTTTGTTATGGGTTCTTCTATTTTTTCTTTCATTTTCAAAAGTTTTATGTTATGAAACACATATACGGATGCAATACGATATGGATACAGCGATACAGAAAAACCTAAAAAAAAAAAAAAGATACAAGTATGATTATGATACGTCCATAAAATAATTTTTTTTTAAAATTTAATGTAATTATTATGCTTTATAAAGTGAATCACACATCTATAAAAAATATATAATTATATCTAACCATTATATCATTCATAAATCATACATTCTACACATATTGCATAATATCATGTTCTTGCTTAAACGAAATAAACAATCCTATTACAAGTCAAGTAACAAAAAATAGTCCCCTCTTATTACTAAGACGTTTTTCTAATATTTTCTTCATTTCCATCATCTCCATCTTGGAATAACATAGCTATCATCTTTGGCTGATAACGTGAAAGACTTGCAACTTCAAGGAATTCAACACCGTCCAATGAATCAAATGCATCTCTACCAATGTCACTCCTTTCTGATGCAACTATGAAATTGATAAAAGGTTTTCTTGTAAATCAGTCCACCCATCTGTAACAGTACTCACTCCCTTTTCCTTCAATGAAAATTTAGTTGGCTCCAACAACCTCTCCACATGCACCCTTTCCTATTGAACTGATCCTCAATGCGTTGTAACCAGGTGGTACATAACCAGCAATCAAATTAATGCCAGTAAATGTATAAAAACTCACATAATATGGGTGCCTAGCTAAATGAAAAGTCAATCCACTGGAATAAAACATTCGTGCAATGTGGGAGAGCAATTCTTCCCAAGCACCCAAGTTAAAAGCTTTTTCCAAAGCTCTAGTGCTTTATTCTAACTGTTCCAGTTTATGATATCCCCATATTCTTAGTTGTAAAGGGCTTGAGCCAAGAAAAAAAGAAGGTCTTCCATTCTAACTGTTCCAGTTTATGATATCTCCATATTCTTAGTTGTAAAGGGCCAGAAAGAGGAAGGTGGTAAAAGAACTTTCTTGAGCATAGTCATTTTAACCCTATTCTTTGTATCTTCAACTACCCATTACCTCTCAACAAGATGTTGGACAATCACTTTAGAACACACTCTAATTCCATGACCAGAAATTTTCAACATTTGTGCCTTCACACAAAAATATGATCCCCTATACTTATTTTGACATAAATTGTATTGGAATCTACCATTTTAATCTCCTTTCCCCATTTTTTCTACTTTAGTAACATAACCCAAAAAAAGAGCATTATCATCTTGGGTGGGAGTGCCACTTCCACTTCCACTAATTGAGCCCATACTTTCTATACCCGTATTCATTCTCCTGTAATTATTAATTTGATAAAACAAATCAACAGTGCACCCAACAATCGAAAATTAAACAGTGCACCCAAGAAAATTTCGTAGTTCAAATACAGCAGTAAAATTCAACAGCAGCAAAGCAGTAAAATTCAGTAGCAGTAGTAAAGCAATTCAGCAACGACAACAAAGCAGTAAAATTTATCAGCAATAGTTCAAATCAATGTTACCCAGATCGGGGGTCGTTTTGGTACGTGGTATGGGTACGGGTACATGGTACGATAGGGGTAGGTTTAGCTGGTATGATGTTTTGGATCGCAATTCGTTTTAAAATTATTATGTAGATCATTTTCATTACTATACAACATTATATATTACAAAACATTCATAAAAACTAAGTTAGTTATTATTTATAGTATAATTGTACTTGATTTCTATTATCTAAAACAACATATAATTATAAATTTATATAGATTTAGTCAATTAATATGTATTTTATATTTGTGCTGCATGTTCTAAAGCAAATTGATTTAGATTTGTATTATAATTTAGGGTCGTCTATTGTGGTGATTTGGATCACGAACCCACCTCGTTTGGGATCGATGTACCAAAATCGTGGATCGTTAAGAGTTTAGTGAATTGCGGTAACCATGGTTCAAATGCAGCACGTCACAGTACAAATGCAGCAATTCAAATGGTTTGGAACATTTAATACATAAAAAAAAAACCCAAGCAAATGCCTTATATGTGTAATTTGTTCCTAGACTATATGTAGTAGAAGGCCGAAAACCACTCCCTCTCACAACTGCAGTGGCAGTTTCTTTAATTTGGACACAAAATCAGGGGTATTTGTATCGTCTTTCATATTATAAGACGTAGAAATTAGAGAGAGAAAGAGAGAGAGTGTTGAGAATCAAGATCAATTCAAAGTTGGTGAAGACTTCAATGAAAGGACGAGAGAGAAGATAAAGAGAGGAGAGAGAGATGCAGAGAGAAAGATGATAGAGCTTACCCAATGATACCTGGACATTGAATAGCAAAGAGGAGACACTCGTTGATGGTGAATGCTGCACTTCACAGTAGGGAGGAGAGACGTCGTCGGTGTCAAGAGAGACCGCCATAACTGTGAGAGGGAGAGGCTCACACTTGACCGAGTTTATTTTTTTTTTGTT